CCAATAGTCTTTTCTTCATTATATACCGAAATTGTACGAAAAATTGGAGCAATTAAACACACGAAGTATTCAAAAACTTCCTTTCTATTTGTCATTTGCTATTTTATTGTGCTCATAAAAAGTGCTTTCGTGAAAACAAGGCGGAGCCTTTTTAGAGCGTTTTAGTATGTCTTTGTCCTTTTCTGGAATGCTGAATTTGTAGGCTGTATCCTCCAACTAAGAAGTCCCTCCCTCTTGTCTAAGCCATCACTCAAGTCCCTCTTTAACCATTTTAAGTTCCATAAGCTAAGATGCTCGATAGATCTTCAAGATATTGAATTTGTGTCAGGAATATTACCAGTAACTAGATTACGAATTTGCTCACTATCCCATCACGTGTTTGATATCGTCAGATATAAAAGTATCAAGTATTGGGTAAAAGGCAAGATCTCTGTATATGGACCAATTCGCTTCAGTTTCAAATGTTTCTTATTAAATACAAAAGCAAAATTAAAGTTTAATTATAGATTTTCAACTTAGGGATGGAATTTTCCAGCCAATTGATGAATCCTTTGCGCATACTATTCATCATCAGAGATCAAAATTGTTATTCTAGAAACTTAAATTAAACAGATTTCGATAATAGTCACTGTTCTCAAAAAGACTGGATCGAGCTTCTCCAGCCCAGTGTCGATTCCACATTGCAGCGTCCATGTTAGGACCTCACCGTGTTGCTTGAGACTATAGAGCAATCACGTTGGTCGTTTAACTTCATTTTTTATAGCGAAATTCAAATTAATCGTTTAAACAATAACTTGCATCATTCCCAAGTGACGTTAAACAATTTTTCCGTGGCATTTAGTTTATGTAAGGGAAAATTTTTCACTCATTTCTCTAGGCCCAATGGTTCTTAGATTATTTAGGAATTTAACGAATAACGCACAATTAAAAGCACAGCACTGTGTGTACCTATTTTACCCATGGCAGCCCTAAGCTTTACATGAAGAGACTCGATCATTTCCTCGTGCTGATATAGGGAACAATTCGATCCAGTCTTTTTTAAGATCAGTGAACATAGTCCCCGTCTGCAACCGTATTCTTTATGCTGCTACATACTTTGCATTCAGCCAGATTGCCATTGGCTATCCTTGAACTTTCGAGTCTATTTGCAGCTTATAGCCAATATAAATGTATTGCCAGGACTGTTGTGCCAAGTAGCTGTGAGAGAAAGGTGTTTATTTGGTTACTGCTAAGTTATAAAATTTCTTGATTATGCAATATGATGTATTTGCTCGGTGTAGTGCATATCAGATCAGATCATAAGCCTTGACACTGAAGCAATACATTCAGTACCCACCCAAGATATGTTTTAGTTTCATTGCGGTGAGGGTATGATTATTCTGACCCAGTCTTATGTTTTTATTTTAGTGTGTTTTGATAAAGTGAACCAAAGATAAATTCAGTCTGGGTATATTTTCGATTATTTGACAATAAGACCGCACAAAATGTATAATGGCCTAATAATTAGAAGGCGGTGCTTGCAAAAGACAGCCATTTTAGACTCTAACAGCTTGTGTGGCCAAAAAAATCATTTGTTTAAATCTTAAGTCGCCTTACGGATTTGTAACATAGACCAGAACCTTTCCTCGCTATATTCAACAGGAACTCTTCTCTGCTTTTTAAATCACCTTTCTTCGTCGGAACAGCATATCAAAGTTCCCATCTTTCTTTCCTATTTTTGTTTTATTATAGCTTGACGATTCTGTGTTGATGTGATATATGGTGACTTAAGGTTGGATTATTTTTTTGCACAAGGCATCTCGCCTCTTTGTTTGGGTAGTTTTGCAACTTTGCATCAAGGAAGATGGTTAGAATGGAAAGAATACATGATACAACAGTTGAAGTAGAGTTGAAATTGAAATTTTAAGGGTTGGAGCAAGTTCGGGATTAGATTGGTAATGTTTTCACAAAAACTGAGTATTTGGATTGGTTGCCATTAGAAAAATGATGTTGATCTTCAAGAAATAAAAAGAAAATAAGACCTCTAAGATACATGGAACAGCAAGGCAGTTTAGAGTTTTAGGAAGAGGTGGAGTTATTTTAAGCAGATTTTTGGATCCACTCAATCAAGATACTTGAGCTTGTTTCTGATAACGTGTTTATTGGATTGAACGTGTTTAGCTTTTCTGTATTCTTCGAAACGTTTCGTAGTTCACCGAGTACAATGAAAAGGCTACCGTAAATCCTCGAATTGCCCCCCTCCTCTCGAAAAAGCCCCCCTCGAATAAGCCCCCACCTTAGAACTGCAAATTCTCTATAAGCCCCCCCCCCCCGAATATGCCCCCATTGCTACCGTAAATCCTCGGATTGGACCCCTCCATTTGATGATTTTTGCCATCTGAGGTTGCCTATGGCGTTTTATTGAATTACCACAACAAATTCATCATTTTGGTAGTAACTAATCAAATTCTCATAAAGAAATTCCTACTAAAATAAACGAGGTCTTTTAATAATGTCTTCTTAATTTCTACAATAATTTTATAAGCCCCCTCCCCCTCGTATAAGCCCCCATCCAAAGATATCAAAAATAAATAAGCCCCCAGGAAGCTAATTCGAGGATTTACGGTATTTGCTTTAGTCGACTTTTTTATTTCAAATTTTGCAATCTCGTAGGAAATTACCGTATTGGAAGTCCTTTAAATCGATCTAAGCTTTCCATTTAGTTAGACGTGAAGCTTACAAAAGGCCAATAAAAGCTCGTAATGAAAGGCAACCAAAATGAGCAGAAGCTTATTTTATTACTACAGCCCACACAATTTTGCAACCTTTGACATGAATTCTTCTTAATACAAAATTAGAAAGAGTTATTTGCACCAAATGCACACACATGCATAATACACCAAACCACATCACATGTCATCTGCTTCGGTGTATAGAACATCACATGTCATCTGTGTAGAGGATTTTCCTAAATACATCCAGTGAATAATACTCGATTGTTCGCCTCTGCGGATTAGCCGCTTGTAAATATATATTGTTAGAGTGAATAGGATTTCCTTTTTTCTTTATATTTAAAGAAACTCTTGCCTTAATCTCAGCCTCCTCCTGAGGCAGTGTCAAGTATTGACCTCGTTCTTTTGTGGACCATGCCTTACGTCATCACTTCTGTCGATTTAGCTTTCCTCAGGACCAGCCTTCATTGATAAATTGATGAATTGTTCCTACCAAACTGTCAGCTTTTATGCAACAAAATTATTCTTAAACCACTAACTTAAAAGTAAGTCTGAACTTGCAACGCCAGTGTTCTGTTTTAATACCTAATCATTATCGTCTTTTGTTTATACGTACAATTTTCCTGAGTCGGCATTAAATCATATCCGCTTCGTTCTTAATCCCGTTTAGTTTGGCACTCAGGCATTGTCAGTCATTTTTTGTCGGTGAATTTGTTCTTTGAAAGTTGGAATTCACAAGGGATACAGGATTGTTTGTTTTCTTTGTTCTAACATTCAACACTCCAGTCTTTCTTTTGTTCTTGTATCCAAATTTCGCCATCTTTAAACTGTTCTTTGCATTTTTCGTCATCCATCTACAACCAGGAAGCAAATTCTGACTTCTTTCTTCAAGTGAATTTCATCGTTTATAACGATCTTTACATAATAGCTTAGTGAATTTCATATTCCTACCCCTCCCAAATTTTGTTGTTCTGGATATATTTAACTTTTTTGCTTTAACCTTCTTGCAATACTGTGGAAGTTTGAGGACCAGGGGTAAACTGAATGGTAATACAGCACCCTCTTTTTACCTAGGGCTATTTTTCCAAAGCCCCGGTAAATTTTCAAGATGCATACTAGTGGGGCAATAAAGAAACCCTCTTGCCTAAGACCAATAAGACGAACCAATGAAAACAAACGAAATTGACGTATCACGCCAAACCTTATTTTTCTTGCTTTTTGAGGAAGCTTCGGAAAATTGTCCGGGGAAAACATGAAAACCTTATCTTGTTTCTGTATTTCTCTTTCAGTCTGTTCTTTCTATTAAACTGGTATGATTTTTGAAAAGCCAATACTGCAAATCCAAGCGGATAAACTAGCTGTCTAACCAATTTCAACAGGATCTTCTTTTTCGAAAATCCTCAGACCAATTCTTTCAAATGGAAAAGATTTGAACATGAGGCAATAAATGAGTTAAGACCGTTTATTGTTGACAACCATAGGAGGTCAAGTCATGCCAAAAGTTTAAGGATTCTGGGATCTGCGGCTCATCCTCTTATTCATATCTGAATGAATTATTTATCAATCCTTCGTATTCTTTGTAAACCACTGCTTGCTCGGAAAAAAGCAAGCGGCGTGTAAGATGTTTCCAGTGGTGTGCTCGGATCATTGTCTCAAACTCTTACTAGCTGTCCTTGAATACAAAGCAAATGTAGTGAACAGACGCATCGTAAGATATCCAGGGCTTGTTGCTTTCAGCATTTACCAATGTAGCGTTTCTAGCAAATGAGCAGATAAGATTCCTTTCTGATTTAGATTCGATTTTCATGCCTCAGATTCAACCGCTCGGTTTATCTGTGGCTGTGGCCATTAATTGATTGGGAGATTAGACGATGCAGATAAAAACGAGGCTGTTATAATTAGCATAATCAACATGTATGGTAAGTCCCATAAGACCATAGATAGGTGAAGTGCTTATTTGAAAGTGTTGGAAACCCTGCCCAATCGCTTTTGTTTCCTCATTAGGACATGTTCATCGGCCCATTTTGATATCATTGATATTACAAGGGTGACAATATCACGTCATTTTGCTCAAGATGGCAGCCCTTATTCAGCAGTCCACTTTCCCTTTAATGATAAAGGACGGTGTATGTTGTTGAATATATGAATGCTATATGGCTTCAGTATAAAGACATCTTTCAGACCGATTGGGTACAGTAGAACTTTTTTTTAGGGAAGGTGGCTGGCTAAAGAAAACTTTTCCAATAATTTTTTACAAAGGAGCAAATTTTCTAACAATCTCCTTGACAGTTTCTCCTAGCTACTGGCTCCTAAGAGCACTTTTGTAGGCGTCGAGTGTGTGTATCTTTGCTTCACTCTTTAGAGAGTACCATTATTAATAAATTACCTACGCCAAAGATATTTCTGTACACTTTTTTTTTGTAAAGACATCGAGGTTTCATTTGCCAAAAAGTAAGAACAACATAAGAACATGACCCAGTAAAAGAAAAGTAATGTGTTTTTTCAAAATTTGTTTTCTTGTTAACAAAACTACTGAAAATATCACGCAAAACTGTCATTAATGTTCTGGGAAACAACTGATAGTATTTACTTGTAGAGAAATCTATTTTGAAATAAGAAAACTAAGAGCACGCGAGCCTAAATTTATCCAAAATAGTAATGTTGAGCCTTGGCAAAAATCATCTGGTTCTCAAAAAAAGAGTGTATAACTGCTGCGGAAAATTTTCCTTCTTGAATAAAAGACCTTGTGTTCATCTATAATGCCGTCGGAAGAGGGAGTGATAGTCTTAAGCCCCTAAATAATCGTCAATCTTTGTTTAATTATGTATAATAAACTACTGAAATGGAAGCAACAAATGGATTGCTGTTTCTTGAGACCCCTCCCGTCATTCCATCATTAATCTTTCCTACTTAGTCAATGTACAGCACCGTATACAGTTGCTGTTTGTCTAGTTTCTCCGAGTAATTTGATCTCAGCCATAAAGAAATCACGAGTTTGTTGCCATAGTTTACCTGTAACTGTAAGTTGTATCTATGCACAGTGTATAATAAGTGAGGACTAAGAGTAAAGGCTCAGGGAGCTAGTATTTTGTTTTCCTTATCATTTATTCATGCCATTCGAGTTATATAGACGTAAGACTTGTGGCTTATTCAGACGATGCCTTTGACTATTTAACTCACATTCATGTTATGGAGTAAAGTGAATAGCAAGGTGCACGTGTTTTAAGGCTGTGCGGCTCGTGTCATCAATTGCTTATTGGCATGAGCAACCAACTTTTCTATCAGTTTATCTAATTCATTTGCTTTAAACGGCGAATTACAGTCCTATCAGAAATTTGCGAGTTACCAGAGCAGGATATAATCATCATAGTATATTTTTGTTGGTTGTTCATACGCACCTTGAGGAGACATAGGCATGTTGAATTCTGATGGTTTTGCAGCATAATCAATGAATTGGTATTTGAACGAGTAATAAATTAGGAGTCGATTATTAAGTCATCGATGATGGTTGAATCGTTATTCGGCAAAAGTATCAATGCTGGAATACAAAAATTGAGGAAAAGGCTTAGAATCTACCAGGTATTGTGAAGCAGTTAGTTTATGGCTAGCTAGCTGAATTTAACCGCTAAAACTGCCTGAACGAATGGAGAGTTTAGGCCATTCTGGTAGTAGAAATTGATTTGTGATATCATGTTATATTTTAGAGCTTTTTGCAAAATTGTATCTTATTCTAAGTTATACTGCCGTGTTACTGGATTTCTGCCTTATGAATTATTAAAAATCATGTTTTTCTTGGTGTACTGAAAAAAAAAACTATGCCAATGACTGAAAGTCACAGGGCAGAATTGTAATATAGTTTTTACCTTTGTCCGCCGTTTGTTGCATGGAGGTGTCCGTTCACTTATGATCCACAATACAATGCAATTAGCTTTGGTTTAGCTAAGCATTTTACTAACGTTAAATGAATGAAGAAAATAAATTGACTCTAGGTGGTAAACTTTTGAAAAAATTGTCCTTAGTTTGAAATTGTCCGTTATTCAAAGGTGTCCGTTTTTGGGGTGTCCTTTATTTGAAGATTTCCGTTGGTAAATGATTTCCTGCTTAGCTAGATAGAAAAATAATGCTAATTATAGCAATATCTACACTGGATAAAATTTTCAGTGCCAAAGATGTTTTTGTCAATAAGGATCCTCTACAATGTTTTCTATTCTTGGTTTGGTAGCGGAAAATTAAAGCAAGGAAACAAAACTCTCGTGGAACCATAGGACAAGGACAGCTTCCAACTTATTCTTCACGCTAATGGCGCTTAATAATAATAATTTACAAGGGGCGCATGATGATTTCAAGGAGCGTAAATAACGAATGTTATCTTTATTCTGAGAAACCTGCTCGAATGCAAACTTTTTTATGGAAAAGTGGGCGATTCTTCTCCTTCAAAATCGTAGCGAAGCTTACATGTCACTTCAGTGAGCAAATGAAAGCTATCTGTCCTCAAATAGAATTATTAGTAAACCACAGGGCCATGTGGCTGGAAAGCTCTGATGAGCCCTACTGCTTTAGTCTTGCACAACTATTATTCTCACACTCATTTGTTGATATCAATTCCCTGTTATAGAATCTTCTTTCGTTAACAGCAGGATCTTATTTCAGTATTTCATTTACACGCAACTAATTGCTTTTGAATAAAATATTTGAGTTTGGCTTTATACTCCTCTCTTGCTTTTTCTTGAACGCACATCTTAAATTTTGAATGGATTTGCACTATTAGTTACTGGCCGGGAAGAAAATTATTTGGTAAAAGTAGTTGTTCTAATTGTTAATAGTAATCGTATATCAAGAACAAACTTGTGCATTATTTGTCTCTATTTTGTACATATACACACACGATATTTCTCTTTGTATTTTAGGTTGTTCCCCCGGATGACAGTGCTTCAGAACGTGCGTTGTCAGATGGCCATTCAGTCAAGTCAGGGGGTAAAGAGTCAGGGAATCTCTCTGGAAGTGAAAAGGCATCGTCAAAGTATGTTACCATTCAAAGATAATTCAAAGTTTTTTCGATTTTTCGAAGCTGATTTTTTTCGACACCAATGGTTTTCTTTCTCACGAGAAATTTTGAAGCTGATCCTTAAAATATATTTTTTAGTTAGAAACTAATTCGTTTAGGGTATATTTGTTGGCTTATAAAAGCCTGACTAGGCCATATTTTCGAAGTACTTTCAAATGAAAAAGAGGCTCGTACTTGTCAAACCGAGTCTAGATAAGGTTTATTTGCTGTCTTTGTCAGATATTCTTTGTTCTATTGGCGTAGGGAGGAGCCCTATCGGTATATTGTTGCCACTGTGAATTAAATCAAACTTCATGAATAATGTATTCTAGAAAGGAATTTGTTTCGCTCTTTAGACGTATTGTTCAAGCGTCAGCCATATGCTCCAAAAGGTTGCTTATTAAAAGAGATTTCTATGGCGACAGGTTCCCTTAAAACTTATTGCAAGGCTAAAGCGTTTAATCAACAAAAGTTGAGCTAGGTTTTATCACCGGAATCACTCTTTGGTTAACTTTGCGAATCCACGAATTGTCTCTGCCGGTTGAGATGGTTTTCATTTAAAGAGAATAAGTACAAAATCGTATTTTATTACAGTGTTTATTGTTGTTTCGTTTGGTTGGTTTTGTTTTCACCGCACTGGTGTGTTGTCAGATAGTTTACGTTTATTTCAATGCTTATTCAAAAATTTACTTCACACAAAGAAACGTTGCCCAACTTAACAACTCGCAGCTCTATCCGATCGCCTGTCTTTTGGAATTTAAAGAATGGTCCAGAAAGACTTTTTGGTTTATTGGATAATAACAATTATATCAAGCCAGGACACAGTATCAGTGAAGAAGAAATTTCATGGTCTCTTATCGTTGTCGTTGCTTTAGAATTTGTGTTATGGTCAGACTTTAGGACGAAGTTATGTGCTTGTTTCGGGATATTGTTGGATTTTCGACTTTTACTGCGATCGTTGACGAAATCTAAAATTGAGCATTTGAGGTCAAGCAAGGATTGATCAGCCTGGAGACAGGTGACCATGATAGCATTTAACAGAAGCGCATTAATTCAAGTCTCGGGCTACTTACACATTTAGATGTGCACCCGCAAATTCACGGTTTTTTCTACTTGCCAAAAATCTAAAAAATCGAGCAAGGAAGATGCAAGAGAGTCAGGTGATTCGGAAAAGGTCAAGCTGTCACATGGAATCCTGTCATTTTTGTTTGTTAAAGAATCAAGGAAGTTGAAGCCAACGCGTCGTGGAAAAGCCTTTCAGAATAAGAATGGAAGTCCGTACAGGTACTCCGGTTGCCTCAAATTGAAAGTATCGCTTTTATATGTTATTCCACTATTTTTAAGGTCATATGATTATTTTCAGTTGATCATTGACTATGCTAGGCAGGTACTAAAGTTGGTTGGAGATATTAAAACCAAAAGTGAACTAGACCTTTAAGCTTCTTTTAGAACATAACAACAAAACAAAACTTTAAGAATCATAACAAATTTTTCATATCGGCATTATATTTTGATCCCACCGGTTTCCAAAACAACTTATTACTTGCGTTCATCCATCTTTTGACACCAAACCTTTCCTTCTCTCTAGTCATGTGGAACAATTCATCTTGGTTTCGTTCGATTAACTCGTAATTGACAATATATATTTTTACCTGATGGAGACCAATAAGCTTTAGAGATCATGGCAACAGTAACGAAATGGAATCTTATGAAACTCTGTTGCGAAAGACCAAGGCTTGTTTGTTTAGGGACGTGTTTTGTCGCATTTACACTAAACCAGGTGCAGGATTCGGAGGCACCTTTCGCCTTGTTATTTTTAAGCAAATTTTGAATTTTATTTTTTTTGCAGAGAGGCTGTTTCTGGTCGGTTTATTTAGACTACGTCGAAATGAAATTTTAAATATTAATCTTTTATTCAAATTGCCCTAATACAAAATTCACACAATACTGCTGATGATATTTTATACAAAAAGGGTAATACGTGCCTAACGAACGTTTGTTTTATGTCTACATTTCGTGCATTGATGTCTGGACATTTCATCAGCTTTTATCTTCTTCAAAATACACCCTCGGCGAATTTCCCAAAAACGCCCAACATCTTTTTGTAACGTGTCAAACGAAAATTCAAGCGAATTTTTACGTTGCAAATGAGAAAAAAGTATTGTTGGTACCCCCATCATTATATGTAGGCTTTTAACTTCAATTGGCTGAAAGCGAAGAAATATTGTTTGTCTTCCATGCAGTTTAGCTCTGCAGAAACCATAGAATAGTATATGTTTGTATTTATTCAAGTATATTATTTGTTATTTGATCCTATTGTTCCTGGTCGATTAATATGTCAAAAAATGCAACCACGGTTTTTTAACCAAATTGAACGCTTACTTGGTTCATATGCGATGACTTGTTGTTTCAAGGCAGCACAATAACATGTTTTCCGTGAAAAAATCATTTTTCGATTACAAAACTGTTTTGTCAACACGACGTCGTTTCTATATTCCTCATTGGACATGAAGGTAGCAACACTTGCCTTGTCAATTAATGTTTATTTTGGAAGCAGAATCACAAGTCATTGTCTCCTTAAACAGATATAGAAACTATTTGGAAAGATGTTGTACTTTTGGTTGCGTTTGTCATGGTTGTTTTTCTTTCAAGTGTAGCAGATAAAAACAAGCTTGTTTTGAGAGGGACCAAGGCCAGTTGTCTTTGAGATTATCCCCTTACGATGTTAATGAGGACTTAAGGTGTTTGGTTAATCCTGCGTTCAAGATGAAATGGATATATGGGTGTTCTGTTTGTAAAGATATCCATCCTCATAATGGTATGCTAATATGATAGGCAATCCAAGTAAAAGCCAAACACAAGCTTAATGTGAACTCAATAACGCAAAAGAGATTGCTCTCGCCTGTCCTATACTTAACTCTAAGATTAGTTTCTTACAATGGATGGTAGCTAGAGTCATTTCAAGGAGGCAGTTAAGGTTACCAGTACTCCATTTTCTAAGAACTCCAGCCATTTAGATACTGTTTAGGCATAAGCGTGAACTAGACTGGGTAGTCCAACGTCTCAAACCCTTCCACATTCGAGTTGGGGGAGGGGGGGGGGGATTTATTAGAACATTGATATGGAAATGGGGCCAGATCGCAACACCGTTTGTACATACTTTTAAGCTCAACAATTTTGTTGATAAAACAAATGAAGAAGATTTAGTTAGGGTTGTTAATAGATATTTTGATTGTTAATTAAATGCTATTTCCTTGCAATATATATTTCAAGGGAACCTGTCGCCATAGGAATTTTGACTTTGGATTCGAATGTATCCCGGCATCCTTTGTCAGTCCGCCACTATCAATGCCTGACCTAGCCTCTTTCGTATGTCTCCTTGACCTGCAATAACCTCTTTCGTATATCTCCTTGACCTTCAAGGAGAGGTTATGACTTCGCACATACAGATTTTGGGTTGCAGTTGATTTTTATTGGGTTTGCAAACAGGGCTGTAGAAATGCTTTTTATTTCGAGTTTGCTGAAGGGAACGACTTTTGGTTGGTTTGTTTGTAATTGTGATCTGAAGGGCCTTTGAATTACTTTGAAAAGGTTACTAGATTTGTGGCCAGCTGTCTGTCAAGATTTGAGTTGGTCTATAACTTCGAATCCGTTTATTATCTGTTAATGTGAATTTGAATATCATATCTGATCGGATAAGGAAATGGCTGACGCGAGCATTTTGGTTCTTGAAGTTTTCAAAACTTATGATTGGAACAGTTCATTGGTACGAAGATTGTTTTTCGGTCCTGGATCGTAACATAGCTGGCAATATATGAGAAACTTCTCACTCAATTGAATTTCAGTGTGAAATATCAGTTTCAGAAAAGGTGAACAAATTGGCCTTTAAGAAATAGTTTAGCATGCAAGTTTTCTTAAAGATTTTGGCCTCTCAAACAATGAAGGTTTTGCGATTCAAAAAGGTAGCTGTTGGTCTGTACGGCTAAATTTGGTAATGTAGGCATGACAAACCCATGTAATGTTTTTCGAGATGGGCTTATTCTCAACCCAGTAACCATAATGCTTAAATGTTGCATGATGTCATACTGGTTATGTTTTCTGACCCCTCAATCATGACTTTTAAATTTCCCTTTAAAGTAACTTGGGTTTTGTAGAATTAGCAGGTTTAACATGTAAGGACAATTTTTTGTTGGATTGTCCTTACCCCCATTTTATCTTTCCATATTTCTGCAGGACAAATCCATTTTAGTTCTGGAGATACTGTATGTAAATTTCATTCAGGTCACGACTACCCCTGATAGAGTTAGGTTACTAAGTCTTAAAGATATTTTGTCCTGCTTTTATTCATTTAATTAAAATTTTATTAATGGATGCCAGGAAGAGCCTTGTGGTGAGAATAGCTGCCTGTAATAAGAGTCATCCAAAATGGTCTTGACTCGGCCTATTCTTAACCCTTATGTCAAGTAAGAACACAAACACATACTTCCGCTTTCACTTAAGAACCTTGTACCGTATTTCAAAACATTCAAAGATATTCTCGTATAAAACATGATTATTTCATAAGCGAATGATGGTCACGCTACGTGTCTTTACATCAATATGCCAAGCTTCGGCCAACGTATCAAAAGGTTGAAATTGCATATCTCCCGATTGTTTTTCAGGGGCAAAGATCGAGGAGGCTTTGAATCTGAGGCGGAATCGATCGTTTCAAGGAGAAGTTCTCGGAGGTCAGCAAGACGTTCCGATAGCGAAGGTATGAGGAGTTTTGTCTTTATATTATTATGTCGTCAACATATTTTGCAAGAATAACAGGAGGAAGCTACATGTTTATGAATAGTGGATAAAGTGCAGTGATTAGTCTCGAATGACACTTAGCGTTATCCAAAGCTCTTCCTCCTTGATCATAAAATCCTACACAAGAAAAATCTGCAATCCCCAGAAGCCCACATCCACATTAATAACACACAATGTAATATTTTTCCACCAAATTACAAGAGAGAGCTAAAAGGAAAGCTAGCTATTGTGTTTAATCCAAAAACTGCAGACTGAAAGCGAAATCAGAAATGTGTCGTCAATCGGGGGCTAAATATTTTGAAAATTATATACGAGCTAAAGATTTTGCAGCTCAGAAAACTTGTTTTTTTAGGAATTATAGTGTTTCCTTATTGAATAACTATTCTCCCAAAGTTGATACCCGAAAAAGTGTGGCGTTAACTATCTCTACTCTCAAGTTTTTGTTGAGCTATACATATTTCTCTTCTACCAAAGAAGCTGGTTATGTTTAGAAACCTTGCCGTCTAGTGCTGTTAAAAACCACGAGTATCTACTAGGGTTCAAAACTTTGATTTTTGCTGATATAGATCCCTTGTGAGACCCCTTTGATGCTTATGACATATTCCCAAAGTTCACGGTACACAGCCCAAATTTTGTGTTCCTGAGTGTTCCTAGAAGAACGATGTTATAATGCATTCTGTATTTTATGTTCCTGAGGGTTCCTAAAAGATTCTATAATTCAGTCTGTATTGCATGAGAATTTCCAAGTCCTGCTAGATCTTTGTTGACAGTAATATTTAAGCATTTCTACACCAACTTGCTGTAGGTATTTAACGTTCTTGAATATTGTGTTTCAAGGCATTGTCTTCGTAATCACTCATGCTAAGTTTACCAGACCTTTCAAGGTCCTTAATCTACTGATTGTTCGTTTTTTGATGAAAGCTCAGCTTTCTCATCCTCCATCGTTATTCACATATCAATTGACTTTCCAAAGAATTCATTCGCAATAAAATTACAGTGTACGGAAGATTTTTTGGTGTCTGACTAAATTTTACTTTCTAAAATGTTGGGGTACACTTACCAATAACCATTAAAGACCTTTCAAGGTCTTTAATCTACTGATTGTTCGTTTTGTGATGAAAGCTCGACTTTCTCATCCTCCATCGTTATTCACATATCGATTGACTTTCCAAAGAATTAAAATTACAGTGTACGGAATATGTTTTGGTGTCTGGCTAAATTTTACTTTCTAAAATGTTGGGGTTCACTTACCGATAGCACTTTTTGTTTACAAATGGTTAACAGCTGTAGCCAATTTGAAACAGTTGTTCTTGGTTTTACGATACTTGGTCATTAGCTCTTAGATCAAGAAAGAACGTCAATCATTTCCAATCTATCCTCTTTTACAGCCGGTCGTGCTCCTCAGCAGAGGACAAGCAGACGGCATCATGGCGGCTCGGAGTACGACAGTTCCTCAATGATGAGCAGTGACCTCGATTCCACGAGTTTTGTAGATTCAGATGATGAAAGCAGGTGATTGTCTTTTCTTGTCTAAGCGTCGGCTGTTAATTTTACGCTTTGAACGCCGAATGTTTTTGTTATTGCACGATTTTATAACATAGGCTTCCAAGGCTGCATTTTGTTGGCCACTGTAAAATGTTTTGTTTTTCTGAAGAAGCGTTAGTTATGAAATTGCTGGCTTATATAAGCAAAATAAAAGGGCAAGACGGAAGCACTATTGAGACTAAGGACTCAACTTGAAATTTTCTGCCTTTTTATATGAATTTATTCCCCTTTTGATTATGAGTGAAAGTTTGCCATTTCACAGCTTTCTAAACAAACGTTTGATAAATATTTTTGAGTGATAAAAGGTGATATAAAAACCCGATCGAATGCCAAGTGGTCAATTGAAAATCTCTGTATCTTTCCTTTACTGTTGATTATAGGTTAAGTTTAATGATTATATTGCCCCTTTTTATTGTGGAAAATATTAGAATATTGATGCGATTGCGAACATTCAAAGGTTATCTTCTTGCCTTTCTGGTTGTAACTAAATAGTGAATTACAATGTGTTCTCCATGTAGCGGACAACAGGTGAACCAAGTTTCTGTGCACTGAATGGTAATTTCCGTTCGCTGGATTTTTCTTGTATCAGCTTTGACCATGGGGAACAAATTTTTAGGACGAAGAGTTTTTTTTTGTTTGTGCGAAATGAAAGCTTCACTAAAATGATGAGAAATAACGTTTGTCAAGATAATGTATTGCACACAGTCATATCAACGTGCTAGTTATAAGACCAATTATGATGGCCTGCAAGCAGCGGTTGACTTTAATCAGAGAAATAGGAACTAAGTGTCTTACATTAATTGCAGTTTTTCTATTGATTTTAATGACGTTTATAATGAACTAAAAGTTGGCGGTAAAGAAGACGAGTGACAGCTCAGATTGTCTTTGAAAGCATTACTGCAGCTGGGACAAAACTAGCTTCTCTTTGGTAAACAGAAAGACGGTGCGAGTAGCCCAAGTAGCCTTATATTTTACAGACAGACTGAAAATTCAATTTAGATTTCATTTTTCGACAAATGATACACTGTTTAGCCCTAAATTTGTTTTAAAAGAGTTTTAAAACGTGAACCCCGTTAAGTAGGGCAAACCTATGGCTTCCAAAAAACCTAGAAGTTAAAGGTGAATTTTTGGTTTCCCTTAAGCAGGACCTTTCGGTCTCGAGGTTAAGAGAAATCTGAGATTGTAAAAACACTCTGGAATGATTTTTGGTTGCATTAAGTATAATCCATTTTAAACTATGAATTCTCGTGTCTGTCTACACAAAAGTAGCCAAATTTATTCTCTTTTTAGACTATCAAGCGCCACGGAAAGTTCGCGTTACAGTCAAAGCAAGCACAGACGACGTCGACGCAGACATAGAATGCCCAGGGTGGAGCGAGTAAGTGCTTTCTATTCGCATTTTGCCATGCATTGATTGGACTAGTTTTCAAGCGCTGACCGTCACATGATCACTGGAACATTCATTGTGATTATTTTGTTGCATTTAAGCGCCGGTAAACTAGGCGTAGGCGAATAGGATTTGGAAACATACTGAGAAATTTGTGACAGAGTGACACGATCAGGGAGGACTCGAACCCGCGACCGGCAGTTGTGTGCGTCATTACTGTACCAAGTGAGCTAGCCGGTCATATTGCCAATCCAAGCCTGATCTTGTTACTTGCTCAAATTTTTTCTCGATATAAATGAAGCATGGTTACATGGGTTACATAGATATAATCAAGCATGTAGATTGCAGTCAGCTTAGACACTAGTTTGGGAGTCAATGTTGTCTATCATTTGACTGTCTTAAGTTTTTTTAAGTTCATTTAATTTCGCAGTTCTAATACCTTCCCGCTGCCTTACAATTTGGTAGGTTCTGTTCTTGCGCTTCTCGATGAAAGCATTGCTAGTAAATATTGTAAAAAATAACTTTGGCTTGATTATTTAATTTTCTTTTTAAATGATAACTTACAGCGCCATATAACTAAGAACTGTGTATTAAAAGGTCTTTCTTAGCAAAAAAGGACTTTCGAATGCTGGGTTTGCACGCAATTTTTTTGATAAAGTCTTTTAGAATGTGTTAACAATTTGACCTGCCAAAGAGTTGCTACATACAAACCAAAATACCACGTTTGTCAAGGCATTGGCCGCAATGTCTTACGAATCCACATCTACCGGCCTTTTTTGTTCAAGTCATCGAAACCAAATCTCTTTCTTTGAACAACTATGCACGAAACAGGAAGCTCTTAAAATTTACACAAAGGGCGGTTGCCTTTTGGTTCCATTTTGTCACGAGTAGCAGTTGATTTTTTTAAGATTGCAGATCTCGAGATTCCCACACTTGATACAGCCAACTAATTGATTTAAACAAACTGGGGATTAATTCTTATCCTGTCTTGGTTTTTTTTGTAAACGCACAACTGCTTAACAATCAGAGATGAAAACATTGCTAGATCTGTACTTTTATGAAGCAGAGCTAAAAATTGCCTAAGGATCTGTAGTAAAGAAATATGTTTAAAATTTCCGGTAAGTTGATCGGTCCCTTACAATGCAGGATTTACTGGTTTTTCCAACAGAAAATTGGGCTGTATTGTGGTTTGCGGAAATATCAATGAAAATCCAGGGCCTTCCAGAGAGTCTTTTATTTGTAGCTTTTAATCCTTGTAGTTAAATTACAGTGTCTATGAAGTTTGGAGCATGTACCTCGTTTTGAAGAGTCCGGTTTCAAATTTTTTATTCTATAGTGCTTTGATGAGGCCACTGGATGCGGTATATTGACATGACCGGTTTTTCGCGTACTCTTACATCTGTCCTGTCATCTGGACACATTTTGATCACCGGCATTTGCTCACACTTTCCGCAATCACTTTCTCAAGTATCAACGGTGCTACAAAACATACTGTGAAACAATTCTAGAATCATTTGGCATGCAAGTCTTCTTTTCAATTAGGTGTTTTGGAATCTGTCAGAATTAAACGGAAAATTCTTTCTTGTCTAGACAAAGAGTTCGTCGTCGACTTGGACTGTTTTGTTTTCAGCTTGGACTCTTTCGCTACATTAAGGGTCACTGGTTGATAAAAAAAAGAATCCAGTGAAACGCCCCTTTCCTTCTCTTGCGTCGTTCCACCACAAAAAACACGACTATTGATCTGACTGATCCATTGCTATTCTGGTGCAAAACGCCAAGCGAATGTTCTACAGGCTCCTTTGCCTAAGATATGACATTGAAGACAATTCTATTAATGAGCTTTGAAGGGCCGGTTAGATTTGTGTGGCTAGAAGTTGCTAAATCGTCTTTGCTGGCTATAAGTAGGATTCTGCCGAATTCAAACAGTCGCTAGCTATTGTTATGCAGCCTATTGAAAAAAAATTCAACCAAGGGGTCGAAATTTACACAAAGCCCAACGCGGACCAAGCTTGGACTTGCCGTTGTCACTTTAAACATCCTATGCAGTTTTTAAGCTCGAATATGTGCACTGTTATTTCAATGATGAATAACCAAGGTTGAGATAATACCGATATATGTATCGGCAATTGATAGGTTACTGTATTAGATACCATCCTTAATCTGCTCATCTGCTCCATAAATACTGATTATGACATTGTCACGCAAGGAAACATATCCACAGTATAGACACCACTAACAGAACCACAAATTTTATCGGAAGCATGCAGTCATCTCTGGTTTGTACCAGGATATGCTAATTGAGTCGTATTAAATAATAGATAATTTAAAGATTGCAGGAAACAGGCAGCACAGTTTTTTGTAGTACGTGAAGCTTTTTTGTAATGGAAAATGTGTAGTTATTCTCCGGCTCAATTTCAATCTGTTAATTTTTCTTTTTCAGTGTTCCTCGTTCAGCACCATCACTGAATCAACAATGTCGCTGAACATCATCACAGTCACGCTTAATATGGGTAAGCCTGATTTGGTTGCATCTATAATACTAACTCCTGAAATCTGCTTGCACTATCACCTTTCATTAACTGTGATACCATCCAGTTGTCGTAGTGATTGTTACAAACTATCCAAACGAACTAACTGTATTGCTGTATGCGATTTGATTAACATATCTAGCTATGGCCCTTTTTATCTAAAAGGATCGCGACTGAGTTCGTACTTTGGTTGATCAATGATTTATTGATCGTTGATTTATTGATCAGTAAATGGTAGTTCGTTGAATTGTTGATCGTTGATTGACTGATTGTTGATTGATTGATTGGTTGATCATTAATTTGTTGATCTTTGATTTATTAATCAGCGATTAGGATCATTTGATTCACTAAATGTGCTCCTGCTACTAGTTCCTCTACACTCAGTGATGGCTCGCGAGATGTTAGCAACAACTTCTTACAAGCATCACTCGTCTAGTACATTTTCGTGATATCAAATGTTGTCAGAATACCCTGGTCAAAATATCTCACAAGCTAGGTTCTTAGTAGAAACGACACATTTGCTGGTCGTTGCACAAGTTTCTTTATTAGCTTCAATTGGAGCTACATCCATTTTGATCAGAGTATCTTTTGGGTAAACGTTTTCAAGCGTATCGCATAAATAGACAGTCTACCTTTTTTCTACTAAACAAAAATTGCCACACTCTTTGTTTGGATTTCAGCACTTGCATTTGTGGGTGTATGTTCCTATATTCCTGTATTCCTATATTTCCACTTATCCTTTTGTGTCTATTTTACATCAGTTTCATTCTTTTTAGTCCTTCTAAGCAAAACTCTGTAGATCTTCTCTTTAAGAACTCTTTTCATACTACCTTCAAACCAGTGATTCAAACTCTGTTGATAACAGCTAGTTATTTATGTATCGCGTCCAGGTTGTTTAGAGTCTTCAACTCAAACTTAAAACCTTAAGATTAGCAGCCGTTTTCAACAAAAGTCTGTCAAAAACAGCGAAATCTATGCAGTCCTTTAACCAGCTGAGTTTTCTATTGAAAAGTTAATTCGCTGAAGGCGACTGTCGAACAGGTGGCAGGAAGTACCAGACAGAAAGCTTAACTTGACATTAGAAGTCTAGGCTTTATTCCACACCATTCATACAGCCATCATTACATTCATCCAAACACAGGCACCCATACACAAAAAGGCAGTTGCAAGTCTCGTGGCTTCAGCATCCTATGGGGCAGATGTGATGCCCCACCGTTTTGGAAGAGAGGGTGATCAAATTGTTCAGCTAGCTCAAACCTGACTGTAAATTTTATGGCCAAATTTTTATTTCCTGGAAATCATTTTTACTTGCCATTCCATAGAAAAATATTTTCGAATAAGACGGAAGAGAATTCCATGTTTTTATCTTTTGATTAAGACTGAAGATCTTGTCTCCTGTAGTAGGTTTAGCTTTGAGGTTTGGGACCTCGTAATATGCATATATTTGGCTTTTTTTAGTGATTTAAGAAGTAAACAGTCGCAATAAATCTATTTTTATTTCATCGTTTTAGATAAGATAAATTTTCTGGGAATCAGCATCGTCGGCCAGTCGAATAAACGCGGTGATGGCGGAATCTATGTTGGCTCTGTCATGAAGGGGTAAGTTTTGTTCGATACCAAATGATATTGCCCATGCGAAGAGATTGCATGAAAATTGTAGAGAAGGTTTCTTAAGATTAGGCCCATAGTGAGGGATGCGTTAGTAAAAAATTATCTTCAAACTGAAAACGGTTATTCCCTATGTCTTTTGTGTGGTCGACTTTTAGTCTTAGACCAATGTCTTGTACTAAAGTTTTGCAAATTATCATCTACAAGCACACCTATGCTATTTTATTTATTTTGATTGTCACAATACGTTATAATCCACTTTATATATTTTCACAAGCAATTCGTTATTATTTTACTATTTTAAGAAAAATTTGTTGCGTATTACCCTTCAATCATCTGAGTTAATATCTGAGTTGCAATGCTATCAAAACGTGCAATTTCCTGCTCTCTTCTGGTGCTGCCATTTTGAGCTGGATTTGTATCTATATATACATTATCTTATATTACTTCTTGAAATTCACCGAGGTTTTTTTAGTTGCTAATGTTAGGGAATTTTCTAGAGCTAAGCCCTAACAAAGGGTGAGAATATTAGCAATTTTAAGCACAATTTTAACTGGTAAGCTGTCTAGAATAAAGGGTTTTGGACAGAAAGGGTTGGGAAGGAGCCTAAAAAATTAGCACTCGTGGTGGAAAGAAAGCCCTCGTTTCAACAACGATAGTATCAATTGAACTGCCTAATTAAATAAGGTACAATTTATTTCAGTGGTGCTGTCGATGCTGATGGAAGAATAGAACCCGGAGACCTGCTTTTAGCCGTATGTATAGATTTCTTTGCCTATTATATTTCTCCAGGTACACGAGAAAAGGTGTTTGTTACATTAACTGTCTTTTAACCCGTTGGCTATTTTTTATTGTCACATCAATATTTGAAATCTCTCCAGGAAAGAAATAAATTAATCAATAAGTTCTCTTTTGAGTTGTATAAGAATTTTTTATGTAATTATGAACCAGAAGTAGTTCCTAATTTATTTGGTGGAATCTCTTACCAAATATTCCACCCTGTAGGACATATGGCTCAATACTGACCCAATGCTTCTAATAAAAAATGGGTCATATTTTCAACCCCATGATTTTATAGTGAAATTTTTTTTAAATTTATGCGCTAGCAGAAGCAGTATTTCTAAAGCTGAACTAAGGCGCATCTTGTCTGATTCATTTTGACTCTTAATCTATTATCTTGTCCTAAACTTGTCCTAAAATTGGATCCATAGTCTTTTTGCTTCAAAATTCATGCCTAGAAATTTCAGATGAATCGAATAACAGATAAATGCAATTCGAGGTACATTATGAGATGGAAACAAACTACAATGTTTGATCAATTTGATAAGTCTTATTTGAAGTCAAACTCTAGTAGAAAATCTTGGATAAAAACTTTTTAATTTTTCAAAATGGTTTAATGCATCAAAAACGAAGTAGCTGGATGTTTGAATTGTTTCATTGCAGTTTTGAAATTTGTGTCTTCGGTCTATGTAGTTACCAACAAATATTTAGTGGCATTACCGGGGAGGCTAAAGGCAGCAATGAACTGGCAACCTTACCTTGCGATGATGTTTGTCCGTGAAGTTTCTCCTCTGTAACAGAGACTCCCTTTAGGAAATGGATCCTATAAAATTTACCAATCCAGGTGACATCACTCACTCTTTTGTTGACCTTTTCCCCCGATTTTGCAGGTCAACGATGTTAACTTCGAAAATATGAGCAACGATGATGCCGTTCGAGTTTTAAGAGAAGCTGTACACAAACCAGGGTATGAATCACGATTTTTGTATTCCGTTTTAGTTACTTCAATAAAACTAAACAGGAGAGGGTCTTGCAAGACAGGCCTGATCAGTACAACTTTTTATTTTTCTTTGGAATTCATGTATTCAGATGAAATCATAAAATGAGATGTTGTATGTACTCTTGAACCTCTCGAATAAGCCCCCATCCAAAAATATCAAAAATAAATATGCCCTGAGGGGGCTGATTCGAGGATTTACGGTATACAAATTACCACGAACTCAGAAATAACCATTTACAAAGAAGAAGTTTTTTGCGGTTGCCGAAAGTTTAGCTAGCTGTTTTGATTTCATGCCCTGTGTTATTAAAGGACTTTTTGACAGGCTCTTATAAAAGTACATTGTCGAACTGTTCTTTTTTCAATAACCAAAAACGATTTGCGATATCAAAGCAAGCAGGATCTAATGCAAATATCTCTGTGGAGGGTTTTAGAGAATAATTAAACTCTTATCCATTTTTGGTGATACAACTAGAGTAATGTTAGAAACCTTAACCTGTATCCATTCACAACCATCTCACACTTAACGTAAGCAGATACAATTTATCATATTTTTTACCTTGCTTGTCTGCTCTTTCAGCCCAATAACGTTAACTGTTGCAAAATGCTGGGATCCATCACCGAAAGGTTATTTCACAGTTCCTAAGAGTAAGTGTATTGTATTTGGTTTTCATTTTCTCAGTGATTTCTTTTGTGTCCCTGTTTTCATTATAGTATACAAATAGGACTGTGAAAATAAGTGCAAAAACCCGTAGTCTTTTACATTCTTTTGACCCTGAACAAACTAAAACTCGTAAGACGGTTCGCACAAAAGTAGTGATCAATAAAAGCGAATAAACATTTGAGAGGCATAGATATTGAGGGTCAAAGTTTGTCTCCCTATTATGAAAACAGGGCCAACATTTCACGATTAGTTTCAATTTAAATGTGTTTTGTTGCTTCAAATGTTACTTCTTTCGTTGCCTGTCATGATTTGTGATCTCACCTTCAGCTTCTTGCTTTCAATTTGGGTTTTATATATCGTAGGATTTATCGTAGAATCTATAATTATTTTATTGAATAGGTAGAATCCACCAATTTATGTAAGCCTTGTTAAGAGAAACTGAAGTTTAGAATTGAAATGTTGACAGATTTTAAGGATCCTAAACTTATTTCACTAAATGTAAAAATTCTAAAGGTTCTGTATGTCAAGTTGTTACCATTCAAACTGTTAAACATAAGAACACATAGCATTTTCCAGAATAGCTTTAAATCAATCTCGTTCTTTTCTACGTGTTTTGATGTCATATTTTAGATGATGGTGTACCTGTATCCATAGGTGGTGAGTATCTTGTTTTGTTTTTTCCTTTACTTTTATTGGCACATTCATATCTAAATGTCATATTGCTACAAGAGTTTCTGAAACAGATAGATCCAGGGCTACAAGGTTGATTTTCACACGAGTCTGGAGTTTGAAAATTCAAATTGTTTCTATATTTATATTGAACTTACTCCCAGACTCGATCTTTAAAGGCGTAATCTAACCATCAATGCACATCATCTTCGCCTGAGATGCAATAACCGATCAAGAATTATTTGCCTTAAAGTGGTTTATTATATATTGTTAACATGCCGTTGTTCTCGAGGCAATACAAATCGTTATGATGGCAAGTCATATGCGTCTATTAAGGCAATAACCGGTAATTTTCGTGAAAATGTGCGCATGCATCTTGCTATCAGTAAAAATAGTAGCTAATTAAACAAACCGCTAAAATACAGGCCTTTTTGACAAAACGTGGCTAAGTATTCTGTCCACTTTTTTCTCGGCAACTTTTTCAAAATTATCCGAAAATTATCCAGACCTGTTATAACTATTCGCTTACCCCTAAATTTATAAGGATACTCGGTATCAATTGAAAATGACACTAGAATAATTAATTGTGATTTATCTCTTGTTGACATTAAGTTATTCGTAGTGTCGTCACCTTTCGTGTTTAATTGACACCTTGTTGTTATCTTGGGGTAATTAGACCGCCCAGTTGCTTCGTTATCGCTAACTCCCCCCACATTACGTTATCGAATTAATTATAGCAATCTTGAGACCAGTAGTTAGTTGCTCCTAAGTGTTATCGATAGGAAGTTTTAATTGAGTTGTTTTTCGATGTTAATCCATGTTTCAAAAGTGAGAGGATTTCCCTGCTTGGACGAGTTGCTGTCAAAATTCGCTGTCAATTTTGCTGTCAATTTTGCTGTCAAAATTTGCTTACAAAATTCGCTGTCAAAAATGCGTTTTTTATTCTTTTGTTCGATTTCTGCAGATGAACCAGTTCGACCCATCGACCCGTCGGCTTGGATTCAGCACTCAGAGGCTGTGAGAGGTCTGTTTTTTTCTTCAGATTTACAACTCAGTAAACTCGATAAATCTTAATGCTTCGTACATCAACTAGTTGCAGTGATTCATCTTTTAAATGTCCTAGCTTCGAGATTGCAACTTTGCGTTGAATATTTTTTGCTGACAATCATTTTGGAATGTCTTGCGCAGATTCTGCAAGAAAATTGGCAGTTATCAAATTATATCTAAGCAAACTTTGTTGATTTTGCAGACGGAATTCCTCGCTAGATTTGGATGCTTTTCTGTTAGAAAAAAACCAATAAGAATGCTGTCCAAATTTCTTCAGTATATGCTAAATTGTGAAGTCATAATCAGTTATAAACTGAAACATTTTCAGCACTGTCTGTCAAGGATTGTAGGTGTTATACGAAGAAGGTTAACACCCGGTTAACAAGTCATAAATCTTCTAGTGTATCATAATCATTTATATAATGTGTATTGCTCGCATTTGTTTAAAGTTGCTGCTGGCCTCTTTTTGAAGCTAGTTGCATGTATTCACCATTTGTAACTTGTTTTAACCGACGTCCCTATCAACGGACACCTTTCTAAACCGGACATTTCCCGATAACTCACACCTTCTACTAGCTGACGCCTACCAGAAGCGAACATTACTAAACACCTGACAGATAATGTTGCCTCTAAACTTGTTACATGTTGCTAAAGCATTATAAATGTGACATTCAATCGCCGGACATATCCGGACACCTCCTTAGAACTGACAGTAACTCTGGTCCGACAAGTATTACACTATGCTGAGTTCTCACGGTTTAGGCAAGAACTGAGCTTTGATCTTGTTTAACTTCTCGTGCAGGTTATCAATTATCATTTTAAAAAGATTTCCTGTTTATATTGACAATGTCATCATTGCTGTTCTGTATTATTCAATCAATCGATAGCTCTATGTTATCTTTGGTTGCCCAACCCCCCCTGTTAGCAATCATTTTATTTTGATGTATTATGATTCCCACATAATTAGATCAGGCCATAATAGCCTCTAATCTTTTATGGTCGTCGGCCTTTATCGCCTTAAAGTTAGTTTGGCGCTGATTTGATTGCGTCTTGTCTGTTCAACACCCCCAATGCTTGAATCTGGTATCCCCAATTTTATCTTGGAAATCAATCAGTGTTTCTGTAATAACCAAGATTGTCTCGGATAAAGAGTCACGTTTTAGTGTGGCTTTGAATATTTGCAAATAGCCGGAAATTTCTTTTTGAGGGCAGTACCTAATATATCAGTAATGATTTTTATGTCAACGATGGTGGTGCGAAATCCCATTTTGTAAGTTTTGCATCCCTCTCGTTATTATTACGATTAACTTTTCTGATCTCTTTTTCCTCTGCTTTTTGAGCTTAAGACCAGCTTACCTTGATTGACTTTATTTTCTGATTAGATAAGCTTCGAACAGCTTGTAATTTAGAAATCTTTTTTTCAGCTAGATAGAGTCTGTATGTATAAGGGACCATGTTGAACCAAGTAAAATATACACCTGATTTTTTGCATTGAGTTAGACAGCATAAAGCCTTTAAAAAACGAAAGATAAGTTTCACATTGTGACCTGTTTGTCATTTCCTTTTTAGCTGCTGGAGGACTGTTAAGTCGACCTCAAGGCCCTGGCAGTCCGTCCCTCAGCAATATGACTTCTACCAGTTCATCGCTCACAAGTTCAATACCCGAAGCAGATCGTAAGTCACATTTTGCCCTAATTTTCCTCTCGTCAATGTTAACTTCTATTCCATGGTACTGTCAGTAAGCCATATGACAATACCCTTTGATTTCACTGTAATATACCTTGTAGCTGCATGTGACAGAGGTACCATGTAACACAAGGTACCAATACCATTACGAAAATAAGCTCGACACAAAAGAAAGGTTTCACTAAAGATGGCATCTCTTCGGTTTACGTCAGTGCTCGTTCTAAGAGTGTCAATTAAAGGACGTAATTTTAATAAAATCAGGTTGTCTGTTGGTAAGATCATTTAGAAGTTTCTTGCTTTTCAAGCAGTTTTTTTCATGGTCTGTTGTGAAGTCAACTTATCTTAGTGTTTATAGCTGAAACTTTCCGTTGCAATCTTTTGGGACCCTGTAGAATAATGTTTGGTTTTTTGATGGAAATTTGTTAACAAAACGTGCCTAAAAGTTAGCAAATGGGCTGGAGTATTGATGATGTCGAAGGCTGATGACAGAGCTTAATCGGCTTTCATTGCGTTTGATCCAGTCGGTTGGTTCTACACTTTATCTCTAACGAACTATGAACAGCCTTCTGCCACCCCTGTCTATGTTTTCCTGGTACAATAAGTCCTGAACATGTCACATTGAATTTTTGCAATTCAGCTTTCAATTCTACTACATAGCTAGAAGAACGATCAGATTTTCCCAATCCCATCCTCTGATTCGCTTAAAAAGTCTCCTCATGCTCTGATCTCTTCTAAAACCACATTGACCTGACTTTCACTTTTACATTTAAAAAAAATCCTCTTCATTTCTTACAAATATTTCTTGCAATTTTTTATTCATACATATATGATGCACGTCAAAGGCACACACTCTTGACATTATCAATTCACAAATTAACAAACCTTTAATGAAAAACGGCCTTTGAATCCCAAACACTACGTTACCACCACAGTTTAAGATTAAGGTGTAAAACTATGAACCACTCAGGGCTTGGTTAAATTCGATTCTTTGTGGTTGTGCAACATTATTTTGTAATTTATGCCATACCAATGATTCTTGCTTTGCAAGTATTATCTTTCTGGTATTGGCTTTTTTATAGCTTTTTCATTCTTCAGTAGGAAGCTCAGACCTTCCTTTTTGCTGTGCTTTTGAAAAAGGTTTATTTTTTGTTTTTTTCTATCAAGTATCTGATTTCCTCAAACGAAAAAATTACCATCGAGCTCATGCTGCTGTTATAAAGAAGGTTTTCCTATTTCTTGCTTTGTTAAAGTGATCCTTTTTCCTTCTTACTATTCATTGTCAATTGTTGTGATAGCAATTTTTATCAAGATGCCTACCTTGAATTACTTTATAAAACTGTCTAAACCTAAGGCTACAAGTTGATAATATTTAACAGAATAATTTTTTGTTATTAGGCTTGATAAGAACATTAATTCATATTAAGGTTTTATTGATAAGAACATTAACACACTATCACATAACATATATCAGCCAAATACAAACTGTTTGGCGTTATTTGGCACCATTCAGGAAGTCCTTCTGTTGATTAGCTTATATTTGTGTCACTGGAGTATATGCACATTCTTATCCCTGCTTGTTTTATCATTCCATGATATTTCACGATAGTGTTTTGATCACGATGATCGAATAAGCGGTTAATATTATTCGATGTTAAGCAAGAAAATTCTCAAATATTTATATTAGGTTTACCATAATAGATTTGCTATAAATTTAACCCTAGCAAATTAGTTCCAACTATAAATTTTGGAAGTTTCGTTGTATTTATTCGGGATAAAAGAAGGCATTAAGCGCCATTCAACAACCATATTATTACACAACAAAGTACATTGTTGGACCTTTTTGTTTAAATACGAAGGCGATCTTACTATAAACCCTGTCACATTTTGTTTGGCTATAGACCAAGGTCGTTAAGCATGAAATCACAGCCATGAACTTAAAAATTCACAAACGAGACTTTTTGTTAGTCCATGTTCAGTTGTGACTTCTCTATCATGAGAGCTATTGGATTCTGTAGTATGTTGCTGATTAAAGAGCAAGGGTACCATTATAACCGCGCTCCATACAGACGAACATTGAAATAATGATACTTGTAATTTATAAGTTTAACTCATCAATCAGATCTTGGACGTATCTGACATCGCTGCAGACATGCTAAACCGCTAAGCTTGTATCATTTTAATTGAGATGTTTAAACCACGCGTGTCTAGTTGTGTGGTAACTGGCAGCCTAATGCCATGTATTCGGTTTGCTTTGTAAAATATTTGACACGTTTTTTGAAGACGGGGACCAAAAACTTTTTTAAACTGTTAACTCTCAGAGTTATGAAATACTAGGTAACTGGCAAGGTGATTATTTTTTTAATAAAGGAATTTTCCTTATTACGCCTTAAATCCGTATTTCTAAAAGTAGGAATGTTTCAACAATCGTGCATTGAGAGGTAGGTTCAGTGTCTCATCAAGCAGGTATATCTATCAAGGCAACTGGAATCAGTCCAATTCATTTCTTTTCCAAAAGCTCTCATTTGTTGCTACTAGGTGTACCCAGTAGGTGTAAAATTCACACTTTTGCGCTTCACAAGACTGTTCAGTGTCATTTTGAGTTCAATTTCAAATTTTGAGGTGGGATATTATCATGAAGCACTCATTTGTTAAGAGACACTAAGTTAAAACTGAGAGATGCCTCGTTATTGACAGTTGCATGTTTTTGACATGGACATCAAGTTCTGAAGTTGCCTGGCAGTATATTTTTTCCTTTCTTTATTCCATATAGGCTATAATGGATAAAGAAACTTCTTTTACACATGTTGTAACCTTGCTTCATTGCTCTATTGAAGTGGGAAGGTTGTTAATGTCATTTGTTTAGTACGAGCATTTGCAAGAACGGAATAGTTTATGCTTAGTTAGTTCATACCATTGTTTCTAATGAAGAAGTTACATGGCAGCCCAAAATGAAATTTGATTGCTTTTGAATAGGAATTGGTTTTCCTGTGTTGAAACGAGTCATTATTTTCAGAATGCTAACAGATGTAATCATATACTATAGGATGTTTTTCACAGCTGGACCTGTTTTCTAAATTTGATGTGTTGGTTATGACATACTTATCAAATGTGAATTATCACGTTCCAGAACTTGCCTTGTTGCATACTTTCAGTGCTTCATATTAACTGCTAGCTTTGATGCTATAGTCACATGAAAACGTTCCTTCTTCAATAAGTATCTTGGCTACATCATGGAATGAATTGAAGATTGAAATCCTAATACCGTCACATACCTTTCTAAAACGACAGTGGGCCCGGAAGTTGTGTTTTGTACTTGCAAGGACCTACCAATTTTTTGCCTTTGAAGTTAACTATGCATTTTTCCCGTTTCTATCTATTGAGAGAGCTGATTTTCGAATCAATGGTTCATTTTCTGAGAGGCTCCATAGACAGATTTTGAAGTGTAAAATTCATCCTATTATTTGCTTGAATTTTTTTAATTTTTGCTGGAAAAGGTTTCAGAAATTTCTTATATTGGTAGATTTGGAAAGAAAGATTCGTTTTCGAAGATTCGTCTTGCCTTCATCGATACAGTGTCTCTATACATGCTTTAATTTGCACGATAATTAGCACTGCTACATCATCAAGGTCTGGTGAAACGGTGAAATTTAATCAATGCAATCACAAAGTTATCAACCATTTAGTTCGTGGTATTTTCTTTTCTTTCGTTTGTAATATTCTCTCCTTTCTTCGGTTGATCATTGCTCTTTCTTGGCGTTATCGAAGCAACAAGAGGCTAGATTAAGATGAAGAACAACGCATGCTTTTCAGAGTATCGTGGTCGGTTATTGGACAACCTTATTCTTTCTTTCTTGGGTAGAGTTACTAGCAGAAAGCCTAGGCCTGATTCAGAAAGACAATGAAATTCTTGGTGGTCCCTGTGAAGGATTTTGAATAGACCAATGGTAGATCAGATTTAATGTCAGAAATTGGTGGCTGAGTCGAACTGGCTTTGGCAGGGAGGGTTTTTACGTGGTTGATATTTTCTTTGAAAAAACATGTTTGCCTCTTTAGTTTGCCCATAGAAATGTGAGATATGAGTATGCCTTATCAAATTTACCTCAAAGTTGTTATCTGGCCATCGGTATACACACAATAAACCACATATATAATGTACTTTTTTCTTTGCGTGAAGTCAAAATAGATGCATGTCGGTGACTTCCGTTTGTCCTTCTTATCTTGCTCGTCTTTTGTTAGGATATTCTTGTCCACAAAGGCTGTCAAATGCTGAATCGTTGATTCCATTAGCAAGGTTCTCATTGTACACACCAGCCTAGTGCTAAAAAGAACGGAACAAAATGGCTGGGATTCTTGTTGTAAAGACCCACGAGAGAACGGGCTGTAGAGTTATGATAAGAGCAAGGGGAAAATAAAGAACAAAAATAGGATAGACCAGTAATCTTTCGGCATTTACAAAGGGACCCGACCCCCTAGCCCTCCAGAACTGCCCCTGTATACAAACGTAGACAAGCCGACTTATACAACACACTTAAGCAGTTTTGCCCGTGGCACCACCACAGTGGTTCATTTTTGGAGATGTGAAGCTAGGTGTCAAAAACCGTCCCAATTCTTAGCACGTGCTATGTTTTTTTCTGGTATGCGCACATCATAACAGCTTCTGCAGGAGCTCTTCTGGTATCTTCGCCATGTTGTTTGGTACCCTGGCCATGGTGGAACCCGGCATTTCAAATGAGTTTAAAGCTTTGTTTGTAGGTATGCTGACCTTGGTCGCAAAGATTTTTAATGCTATTTACTACGAGTAGCTATGATATCTTATTTTAATTTATATATCCAATTGTTTCTTAACCAAAAGCAAATTAATTACACATCGTTAATGAAGATCTGACTGTAAATATCTGACCACATTACAAAGACAATTTTATTACAGTACCTCATGAATGTGCTTTGTGCAATTAACAAGGGTCATGAAACGTAATTTGTTCGTGCAA